AGCACCTAGCTAAAGATGGAGGTCAGAGAGCACCTAGCTGAAGATGGTTCCTAATGTCGTCAACAACACACAACAAACAACCCGCCAACAACAGAATGTGTGAAGAGAGAAAAGAAAGTTCCAACATGAATCTGAGAACGGTCCACAGTTTTCCACACCACTTCTAGGAGTCGTGGCCTAAGAGACAAGGTGCGATAGTGGGTGGGGGAAGAGGTCACGTGTGTGTGTGAAAGGGGCGGGGCTAGTCACCAGGGGCTCCGTGTGCTGCTTGAGCTCCTCCAGATGCTCTAAAATATTCTTCTTTGTGATGATGCCCAACACAATCCTGAAACACACACCTGTTACTCAGCACACTGGCCACAGCAACAACAAATAAACAAACAAACAAACAAACAGAGGAGAGGCACAGAGAACAAACAGCAGCAGCACAAATCAAATATAACGTTAAAAAACTAACGTAACTTGATATTCAAAGAAAATGTTACTGAAAATAACAAATAAACAAAATGATTTTTAAAAATCCATAAAGTTCAATGAAAAAATAAATTCAAATGTCTAAGTATTAAAACTATTATTGAGTGTCTTTATTTATTTTTAAATCATCATTAAAACTCACAAAAAGACCAAAACCAGAAAAAGATTTAAAACGATATTTCAGCTTTTATGAAGTTGGGACTTTGTGGAAATGGTATAAACAATTATCTTACCTGTTGCAGATGGCTCTTTAAAAAGTTAGGAGAAACAAAGTTTTACTCTGATTTATAAAATACTCTTTCTTGAAAACTCGTTTTGTGATGAACGTGTATTTTGTAGACTGGAGTTGCTTTAAGATGTCTGCAATCCACTTTGGTTTCGACTGCGTTCAGACCAGCTGTCAGTCCAATCAGAATTAAACTTTCTCCAAACTGAGGTCAATCAAAAAGTTGTCAACAAGTAAGATATTATTTATTCATACGTTTTCTACAGAATCACACTTCAACGCGCACAAGTTCACCTGAGGTCCTCTGACCTATTGCAAATCAATAATGATTTTGTCTTAAAGCAATATTAGTGTCCGTATTACGCATTTAAAGATTTTAAGAAAAAGAGGGTGTCGAGGGAATTAATATGCACTCACCATGCTCTGTTATTTTACTTTTTTTATCTATAATTCATAATTTTGCCTACTCCCTCTTGTTGGTATTGATATTAAAATGCTTGCATGATCTTTCCTCTATATTATAATCAGTCTTGATCAGTAAGGAGATCGTCTTTATTATGCTCAAGGTTTGACTGATATGTTAGACACAGTGACATGTTCCGAGAAGGTCCTTGAGGTGTTTTCATCTTCCACAACTCCCCGACGTTTGTCGTGTGCAGCTGCTTTGATAACAGCTCCACAGTGCGGGGTGTGTGTGTGTGTGTGTGTGTGTGTGTGTAACACCTGATCGTTTGGGAATCTCTTTTTTTCCACGACAGAGGGGACAATTGTTCTTTATTATTAATTGTTTTTTTTTTTAATGCAACTACCTACCGAGTTATCGTTTTTATTTTTAACTGCATCTTATTGGTCATTTTTTTATTATTGTAAGATTACATTTTCACAGAATTTGTTTCTGATTAAAACAAATAAAGCGGATAAATCTTTGGTGAGCCATAAAAACACAGTGGCTTCCTACAGCCGTTCAGCTGCTGTCAGGTGGCAGACTGCAGACTGGACCAACGCCTGACAGAAGGTCAGAAATGTAAATATAAATACAGAAGTCCCTCGCTACTTTGTGGTTCGACTAGTCCTGTCACGATAAATTTTGCTGGGCGATTAATTGTCTCAGAAATTATTGCGATAAACGATAACATTGTTTGAAATTTGACAATATTTAGTAATTATTGTCAAATTTAAGAATAAACGTTGGTTAATTTATTTTTTGTGTAGTACCATGTTTTGACCACCGGATGACAGTATAAGACTGAACCAAAGGATGGATAGTGAGGGAGCGAGCAGAGTGTCTCTAAGAAAAATGGGAGGGAGGCCCCTTGACACGACATGGGCTGTCTCTTTCCTTTTTTTTTTTTTGTTTCTCAAAATGGCAGATGCTCTGTGTGGTTTGAGCTGTTTAGCATAGCAATTTTCACACAAAGCTTTTAATTTAAAAGAAAATCAGTAAGCAAGTTCTCAGTTTCTTTTTGCAAAGAAAAACAAGCTTTTACACGAAGGCACGGGTTTCAACCGTGAATTTTGGAGCTTCAACAAGACGGAGATTTTTTTTCTGGAGGTCGGCCTGTTAGCTTAGCTTCTCAGCTTAGCTGCTTTTAACGATCCAGAAACGCAATTTTGGATCGTTAAAACAGATTTTAAAGAACAAAGAGAAAGGAAGGGGTCATTGAAGAACACTGGAGTTGAGCTTTTTGTCATCCAGCGTCTTCAGTAGAAAGAGAGACACGAAGAAACGAAGTCGATAAATGAAAACATGGTCGATAATTTTCATTTATCATGCGATTGATTTGTTTATTGCGACAGGCCTAGGTTTGACTTTCGCGGACTCGCTCTTTTGCTGTTTTTCACAGTAAGTGGACATGACATACAATTGGCTGATTCATGGATGAGCCACAAAATCGCAAGGACTTTTTAATTTTAAATAAATTTTAAATTATTTAGCACCTGCTGCACCTGTGTGCAGTCCACATGTGCAGGAGAAGCTCCCTCCTGCAGTGTGTCGATCTCCGCTCTGCAGCAAAGAAGTGGGCGTGGCCTAGAGCGCTGGCAGGTGGCAGAGAGAGCGGAGATCATGACATTCTGTGCTCTTTTAGAGCGTTTAGTTTAGAAACATTGTTTAGAATTGTTCTGAATTCCCTGAAACCTTTTGGTTACGACACAGGCTTCTTTTCTTTTTTACTTAATGATATTACTATAAAACACAGTGATATAATAACATAAACTCCTCCAATACAATATCCAAAATTAAACTACGAACCTGATTTTGTGTAAACTACAGGCTCTATATTCTCAAATATCAAAAACTTTCTTAGGCTACAAACTGTTCAAACACAAGTTTCAAGTGTAAATTTGAGGCAAAAACAACTAGACGAGTGAAGATAAACTTTTGAAAGACAAACTTTGATGGCTTTGGTCTTTTTGTAAGTTTGATTTGACAGTTTTAATAAATACAAAATAACTAAACAACCAAATAAAAACAAATAAATAAACACTGCTGCTCAGTTTCTCTCCAGCAAACTGGGAATTAATCTGTTAAATAAGTTATTCAAAGAACAAACACCTCCTAACTTTTCATTCCACCAGCAGGAAACACTCTTCAAATCCAATATTAGACAGGAACTCATTTAAGCCTGCACCATAACTATAAAGAAAAGCTGTTAATTTGGTTCCACCTTTTGTAAAAAAAAATCAAAAATACAGTCAAAATATTTATACCATAGCAACAAACCGATCTTGTGAAACAGTAGATCACAAGAATACAATCTGTTTCTTTGATTCATGCGCACAATTTCCCCTCCAACATGTCACCTGTGGTTAGTGTTTAAAGTTAGCAGCTGGAGCAGACCACACGTTACTGCTTAGTGAAGGGACAAAGGAAGTGCAGCCGTTACACCGGGTCATGCAGAATCTGTGAGACCATGCGGCACCAGGCAACATCGGTCAGCCTCAGAATGGACCAGCCGTCGTATTATCACCAGAGACCAGGAGAATAAATCCTTCCACTCAGACAAAGTTTGTGAATATCCTACTTACCCGTTGTGCGTGACCAGACACTGGCGCAGCCCCAGCTTTCTGAAAATGTCCACCACAATCTCCATGGGGGTGTGGTCTGTGACGGTAAAGGGGCTCATGTCGAGGATGGAGCGCAGCTTGAGGGGTCGAGGGCTGTCGGCCGGCAGGGTGGGAGCATGCTGAGTGAAGTACACCCTGGAGTTCAACATGATGCCCTCCTGTTTGCGACGAGCGTTTTCTGTTGACATAACAGGAACAAAAGACAAGCATACTAAGCTGTAGTATCATTTTACATTGCTCAATGTTGTTCTGTCCTCTCTTGCAGGTTTACCTATAGCAATCGTTATGTCCCTGCGCAGGGCAAAGCCCACCAGTCTCTGCGACTCCTTGGACACTATAACGGGGAAACCATTATAACTGGTTTCATTGATGACGCCCTGCAGCTCCTCGACTGTCAGGTCGTCCTGTGTCAGCACCGCCAGCGGCGGGTCGCTGCTTCGAGGCCTCATCACGTCTCTGGCCAACGTCGTGTGCGTGAACTCCTCTTTGGCGTCCAGGAAGGGGTATCCGTTCAGACGAATGTGAGCCTCATAGATTCCTTCACGGCCAAAGGCATCGCCAACCCATTTGCTGGTCATGACAGCAGCCATTAGGGGGACGATGTATTCCAAACCACCGGTCAGCTCGAACACGATGACGACCAGGGAGACGGTCATACGAGTGACACCACCTACAGATGGAAAAGAGTGCAACAAACTGAAGAATTAACAATTACCGTGTTTTCCGCCGCACTGCCCTATAAGTCGCATCAGTCCAAATATGTCTAATAAAGTGGAAAAAACAAATACGTTGCTTGGCCGTATACGTCGCATCTATTATGCGTCACCGCTGACAACCAAAAATCGATTGGCTGCCAAATGGCGGTTGTGGGAGCATGCAAGGGAGGACTTTAACAAGAATTTAACAAGATTAACATTTAAAAACAATTATTTGTTTGCTCGAAATTATATCAAAGGTGTGTCTCAGTTGAAGTTTTCCTTAATAAATGCACTTTGACAGTCAAATCAGATGCATTTCAAAAGCCGATTTGTGGAAGTAAGAACGCACAGAGGGATGACCCGCTGTGCTTTTATTAGAAATTTAACAAGATAACAACCTAAAAACAACTAGTTGTTTGCTCAACTTTATGGTAAAGGTGGGTCTCAGTTGAACTTTTACTTAATAAATATACTGTAGTGGTAAAATCAGCTGCATTTCCAAAGTGCTCGCTGCCTCGGTGCTCCGGAGGCGCGCAGAGGGAGGAAATTAGGAAGAACGCTGCACATTTCTTCGAACTTTAACAAGATAAGCACATAAAACAATTATTTGTTTGCTCGACATTATAGTAAAGGTGTGTCTCAGTTGAACTTTTACTTAATAAATGCACTTTAATGGTCAAATCAACTGCATTTTGCCAGGGCGGCGCAGCGAAATGAAGCCTGATTTGACGGTTGCTCCAGACATGATCCCAGAGCTGGAAGAAGGTGACACTCTACGGCAAGCCGATTGTGTCATTAATAGCCACATTTACCTATTACATAACACAACAGCATGCCATATTACTCAAGTGCCATCTAGTGGCTGAAAATGGTAGTGTTCAATATTTTCAATGTCAGAATGAATGTAAACGGTCATACTCAGTCAAAAATTGGGTTATAAATATGGGGGGAAAAACAAATAAGTTGTTTCGGTGTATAAGTCGCAGGGTATGCAAATTATGCAAAAAACAGCAACTTATAGGCTGAAAAATACAGTAAACAACATCTCAAAATGAAATATTAACCCTCCTGCTGCCCTTGGATCAATATGTCCTTGAGCTTTAGTTTTAAAACCGAGGCCTTTCTTAAAGACACACAAAGGAAAATATTAAACAAAAGTTTTAGCCTCTGAAATAAATAAAACAAGACAGAAGTAGCAGAACCAACAATTTATATGCACACAAGCTTTTTTCTTAGCTTTGATAGCTTAAAAAAATATTTTTATATAAACTAACAGAAGTTCTGATCAACGCCATGGCGGTGTTATTTGTTGACCCACCCAGACACGCTGCAGCCCCCACCATGGCATAGAGTCCGGGAGTGATGCAGTCGGCCCCCACCTCACACCACTCTTTGAACAAGAACCAGTCGTGGTGGTAATAGGCAAGCTGCTCCATGGCGATGCCAACGATTCGCCCTGCGATTGCTCCGATGGCCATGCTGGGGATGAACAAACCCGACGGTACCTACGGATGAGTCGCAGCCAGAGGTTTTAGTGATGGTAAAACAAAAACGGAACATGGCTCATCTGGAATCAAACTTCACCTTCAGTCCAAATGTGAAAATAGTCATGATGATTTTAAAGATGAGCGCCAGACAGAGCTGCCACATGGCGGAGTAGACGCCGGGCTCTGCCGGCTGGTTGGGGTTGTCGGTGTAAGCTGTGCTGCCGTTCATCTGACTGCGGTACTGGCAGAGCTGAGAGGACTCCAGCGGACCGCAGTCAGTGAACAGCTCCTTTATCAGCTCACTGGTGTTCTGACGAGTGTAAGGATTTGGGAATGCGACCACTGCTGTGATGGCTGCCACCAGGATCACCTCCAACACTGGGTACTTGCCTGAGGAGAGACAACGTCAGACTGTGAAGAAGTCGCTAAAGAGTTCTGGCTTCAATGATACAAGCAGCTAGAATCAAGAGATACTTGCCGAAGCGGGTCAACTTGCGCCGCCGGCACCAGGCGATGTTGGCTCGAATGAAGAAGGCCCCCCAGAGCCCCCCGAACACTCCCAGAAGTATAAAAGGGATGAGCTCAAAGAGGTACCACGGCGTATGGTACTCCACGTAGAACAGTACCAGGCGGCTGTTACCGAAGGGGTTAATGGAGCGCAGCACGAAGGCTGCCACCAGGGCAGCAAAGAAGGAGCGCCACAGAGTCTTCAGAGGAAAGTAGTAGCTCACCTGGAGAGGTCAGGAGAGTTTACAAGGTTATTTATAGAGGATATATTTAAGGCACATTTGTGTCATAAGCACTATTTTGTGTAACTTGAATGCTCATTAATAATTTGATGGGCTGATGTACCTCCTCCAGACTGAAGAGGACTCCTCCAATTGGTGCTCCAAAAGCAACAGACACACCAGCAGCTGAGGCAGCAGACAGAACCTGAGAGGGCAGAGTCATCAACAACTGGACCATCTCTCAAAGGGTCATGCACGACTTAAACATCATCGTCCTCACCTCACGCTTCTTGGCCTCGTTTTTGTTGTACTTTGGGAAGAGGTAGGAGAAGATGTTACCGCAGCAGCAGGCCACGTGGACCAGGGGGCCTTCTTTCCCCAGACTGAGGCCAGACGCCACAGCCAGAACCAGAGTGATGGTCTTTATCATCAGTGTCCACTTGCCCAAGTAGCCTCGGATAATAAACCCACTCAGGATTGTCTTGATCTGAAGGAGGCAGAGGGAAAACATGACTAAAGGTGCTAAAAGGAACACAAAGCCAAATTCAAGTAATGTAAACGCAAAATGTAATGCAACTGTTGTGTGACAAATAGAACTTTTCATTTCTAGCTCAAAATTAAACAAATACATCATAAAATATTATCCGATTAGCAATATAAGCAGATTTTGCTTTAGACTATGTTTATACCATTTCAGTGTCTTTTTGTACATTATATGCTCAGCCGACTGGAAATAAAAGGATAAACGTTAGAATAAAGTTCTCATTTAGAGTCGAGTTGGACATTTACTAAACATCAGACATTGTGAAGATCAAATATGCTTTCTTCAATATAAAAAACAAGCTGAACTCAAGAATATGACTTATTTTAAATAAGTTCAAATCATAAAACTGATGAAAAACTCTTATCAGTGGTTTCAACCAGCCTTTTCTAAAGCCTTTAAGAAACCCTGCCAAGGTGTTGATCTAACTACCATACTTTTCACCGTGTAAGTCACACCTTTTTTGCATAAATTTGCATGCCCTTATATGGCGAAGCACTTATTTATGTTTTTCCTATATTTATAACCCAATTTTGGGCTGAGATATGACAATTTCATTCATTCTGACATGGAAAATATTGAACAATACAATTTTTCAGCTGCTAGGGGGCCCTCGACTAATATGTCAAGCCATGCGTCTCATTAATAGGTAAAAGTGGCTATTAATGAGACACTTGGCTTGCCATATAGGCCACAAACGTCTCGCTCTAGAACTCCTGGAGCAAACATCAAATCAGCTGCATTTCGTCGCACCACCCAGGTGAAATGCAGCTGATTTGACCATTAAAGTGAATTTATTAAGTAAATGTTAGACTGAGACACACCTTTACTATAATGTTGAGCAAACAAATAATTGTTTTTAAGTGTTAAACTTGTTAAATTCTTGTTAAAGTCCTCCCATGCATGCTCTCGCGGCAGCCATTTGGCAGCCAATCGATTTTTGGCACAACACCGGCCCATGTTTCTAGGTGGTCAGCGGTGATGCATAACAAACGTGATGCATCAGCGGTGACATGTAATAGATGCGACTTATACGGCAAAGCGACTTATTTGTTTTGTTCCCTACTTTATTAGACATACTTGGACTGATGTGACTTGTATGGCGGTGCGACGTGTACAGCGGCAAGTTCAGTAGTAGTTCTCTACTGCTTGCTAAGTGAAAAATGTTGGGGCAGTTTATGGCAAAAAGAAAACAAGCATAACAACAGAAACTGGGGATGCCAGAAAGTGCACAGAACCAATTCCTCAAGTGGCAGCAGTTAATACTTTGTATTTGATGCGTTGCTGAATTAGTGACACCTAACACCTAACATAAATTGATTGGTGTTGTGAAACAGACATCAGCAACCTAAAAAAACTACTAAATATCAACACCTTGATGTCAAATGCAAATGTAATCCTGTTTTAATTGTGCTTGCTGGTAGAGTTTTTTTTTTTTTTTAATGTCTCAAATCGTGTCCTGATAGACAAGATGTGAAAGATCTTTTTTGTAATACCACTATCTACCCTCATGTTTCTCCCTCTTTTCCCATCTAAGATTATTATCTGATAAGGATAAAATGGCCGCGCTTTCTATAGTTGCAGCTTCGTGCACTCCGCCCATCTTTCGGACGACTGTACGTACATATTCGCGTTGTATCTCGGTGCAATGCCAATAAAGTTTATTCTGATTCTGATTCTAAAAGATCAATAAAATGTGTAAGATGTTTCAAAAAGAGGTTCTGTACACAGCTGCAAGGAAGTTTCAGTTGTGTTTTTGAAGAAGGGATTCACAAATACGTCATTTCTCTCACCTCAGGGATCCCCGAGCCGCAGGCGTACGGAGCGAACACTTTGACCAGACAGACAGCCAGGAAGGCGAAGGACAGAGCCCAGTAGATGTACATGAAGTAGTTCATGATGTATGAGCCGGGGCCCTGCAGACAGGAAGGAAACATGCTAAAACTCAGTGGAAACACAAATCACATACAGTAAATGGATGCAGCATATTGCTGTGTTCCTATTAACAACATTCAGTGAAACAAGTAATGGCAACACACAAAGTCTGATCTCCCTCCCTGGTGTTTGTGTTGGTTTACCTCAGCCTGCCCCAGTATTAGCTCAGCCCAGCTCTTCCACTGAGGACACTTGTCCCTCTCAGCGAAGGTTGTCTCGTTGGACGTCCAGCAGCACTGCTCGTGGTTGAACCACATGGCGCTCAGACACACGCCCTCCTTCAGGTCATTCATCCAATCGGCAGCAATGTCAATCAGGCCGGCCAAAGCGCCTGGCAGAGGGAACCAAACAGGGAAAAAAGCAGTGGAGAGAGAGGAGGTGGAGGAGAGGAGGAACCAGGAAGCAGAAAAAGAAGACGGTTTGGTGGAAATCAGGTCGCATGTTCTAAACCCATCGAATGTTTCAGTTGTAGCATCACGAGTTCTAGTCTAAAAAGTGTACATTTTATTTACATCAATACTGCGCCTATTTTACTAAATCTATTCAAACAAAGACTATCCTTTGAATAAATATAACATTTTAATAAGAAACTCGGTGATGTTTAAATCAGGTAATTTTATTTATTTATTAATGTCATCTAGAGGCCAACATGTTCCAAATTTGAAGTCTTAATTGTTACAACTTCATTTAAACTGAATAAAGTCAGTTCATACCACTAATGTTTTATTAAAATAATAATAAATAAATAAAAAAACTCAAGAATTTTGTTTTTGCCAATTTGTCCCCTAACATAAACTAAACAAAGGCTTGTCAAATTTCTTTATTTATTTTTTTAATCTTAATAAAAACCTCTCTGGAGGGAGTTTTACAGAGACGATGACTGAAGCTTGTTTCTTTGGTTCTGTAGGTCAGAGTGTGCTCGTGAGAAATGCTCATCATCGAGAGCAGAAGACTGGGAGATTAAAGCAGCCTGAGGCAGAACCTGCGAGTCAGCAGCACAGGAGATAACTCTGCATGTCCGTTTGCACTGTTGTTCAGCGGGTGCGTTACCTGATGCCAATCCGGTGAGTGTCACAACCAGCCAACCGGACCAAGCATCGTACAGGCTTTTGGTGAACTCCCATGCTGACTCCTTTTTCTTGCTGTTTATCTGTGCCCACACACAAACAAACAATGCAAATTAGCTGCAGTCTAGTGGCACACTTTCCTCTAGTGCTTCAGTAAATCACTTTATTACATCACTTCACGAGAGGCAGGTAATAAAAGGGTCATAAAAACAAAATGTTCAAACAACATTTAAATTCTTATCATCATACAGAAGATCTGAGCTGAAACATTTGCAGGAAGTCTAAATTACTGAGTCAACATTTGGATGAGTGCGCAGCAATAAACGGCAGGGAGATTGTGTGTCGTTTCATTTTGCTACTCGACCCCTGGTGTAAGTAAATACAGTGGATATTGACTCATACAACAAATGGTCAGAAGAATAAAAAAATGCAATGCTTATTTAAAACAAAACGTTTTTCTAGATTTTCTACGCAGGAGATTTTGTTTTCTGTTACTCTTTTTTTCTGTACTCTTCGTGTGGTCCAAACGGTTGCAGCAGCAGGAAGCCAGAAATCAGATGCTTCCTGTTCAGCACAAAATTTTTTTGAGTTCTTGCTGAATTAATCAATTACAAAAGTTTTGTGAAAAAGAAATGAATCGCAAGGAAATCCGTTTGTTGTGAGTAATAACATGGATTACTTCAAATAAAACTCTTTGATTCCCTAACAATGTTCTGAAAGTCCATTCTATATATAAGATATTGTTTATTTTTGGTCTGAGGATATTTATTGATATTTTATTTGACCTCAGCAGAAGTAAGGAGTACCTTCAGGAGGATTAATCCGCACAAAGCAACTGGCCCAGACAACATCCCCGGAAAAGTGTTGAAGGAATGTGCTGATCAGCTCTGCGAGGTGCTGGCAGACATCTTTAACACCTCACTTACCCTGGAGACAGTTCCCACCTGCCTGAAGACTGCCACCATCATCCCAGTCCCAAAAAGCTCTACAGTGACTGGTCTGAATGACTATCGGCCAGTGGCCCTCACCCCGATAGTCACTAAATGCTTTGAAAAACTGGTCATGACTCGCATCAAAACAACAATCAACATCAACGAGGACCCTCATCAGTACGCATACTGTGAGAACCGATCAACAGAGGATGCAATCTCCTCTGTGGTCCACACTGCACTCAACCACCTGGAGCAGAAAAACTCTTACGTCCGTATGCTCTTTGTGGACTTCACATCCGCCTTCAACACCATGATCCCCCAAACCCTGATGGACAAACTATCCACACTAGGACTAAGCCCCTCCATTTGCAACTGGGTACTAGACTTTTTAACAAACAGACCACAGTTAGTGAGGATCCACAACTTCTCCTCCTCCACCATAACCCTCAGCACTGGCTCTCCTCAGGGATGTGTGGTGAGTCCCCTCCTGTTTACTCTGCTGACGTATGATTGTGCAGCTACCCATCCAGGCTGTCACATTGTAAAGTTTGCAGATGATACAGCGGTGGTGGGATGCATCACAAACAATGATGAGTCCAGCTACAGGCAAGAGGTGGAACACCTGGAGAGCTGGTGCAGAGAGAATAACCTTCACATCAATGTGAAGAAGACAAAGGAGATGATTGTGGACTTCAGAAGGAACAAAAACATCTACACCCCCCTGAACATAAGAGGATCTGCGGTGGAAGTGGTCTCCAGCTACAAGTACTTGGGTGTACACATGAATGACAACCTCAGCTGGAGCAACAACACCACCAGCCTGATCAAGAAAGCTCATCAGAGACTCTACTTCCTCAGATGGTTGAGGCGAGCTGGTCTGGGAAGCTCAGTCCTCACCTCCTTCTACAGGTGTGCAGTGGAGAGCATCCTGTGCTCGAGCATCAACGTGTGGCATGGAGGCTGCACAGCTGCAGAAAGAAAAGCTTTGCAGAGAGTGGTGAAGGCTGCACAGAAATCTGTTGGAATCAGCCTCCCCACCATCACAGACATCTACACCTCCAGATGCAGGAAGAGGGCCACCTGCATCATGAAGGACCCCACTCACCCAGCACACACACTTTTTGCCCCACTCCCCTCAGGAAGGAGGTTAAGGAGCATTAAGTGTAGAACCACTAGACTGAGGAACAGCTTCTACCCTGAGGCTGTTAGACTCATGAATCTCTAACTAGAATAATCACTGTGAAAAACCATATCATGTTGCTGCTGATCTGTTTCATGTTGCTGCTGATCTGTTTCAATGTTGATGTGTTCATGCATGCACATCTGCTCACAGACTCATGTTCATGTTTGTGCTGATGTTCAATGTTTTTATGTTATGAGTGCTTAGTGTATATTTAGTTGATGTTTTTTTTAGTTCATATCTTAGATGTTATTACTGTTTTTCTTATACATTTTATTGTTGGATGTAACTGGGACCTTGTGTACATAATTTCGCTCCACCACATGTACCTCATGAGGTGCGAATGACAATAAAGAAACTCTGACTCTCTGACTCTGATTTAGAACAATGCTGGTGTGTTTGAAACGTTTTAGGATTTTAAAGTTTTGTTTTGTCCGTCCTCACCTTCCGGTGTCTCTCCCGATCCTTGCACTTCTCGCGGACCCAGTCGATGGTGTGGAAGTCGTCGTAGGTGCCCACGCCGGGAATGGGCTCCTCCAGGAAGTCCAACAAGTGGGTGGAACTGCTGGGGGCCCCGCCCCCGTTAGACATGGCGTAGTTACACCCTGAAGGGAATAAAACAGGACTTATGATTCTGAGAACATTCACGGTCCACCTTGAAGCAAGGCTAAAGGAAATGTTCTGGTTGAAGTGGTGTTTTATGGAGTTGTTTTTAGTAATGAGTATCTCATCTGCAGCAGAAACCGCTCAGGGTTGTCAGTTTGATGTACAGGCTGAAGTTCTTTTAGGGGGAGACCAGCTAATGGCTAGTCAGCTAATAGTTAGGCCAAGACCAAAGCAGACTGCTGTCATCTAAAAACAACTCCAAACTATTTTTTAAGCCATTTTATAAACTATAAACTATTTTATATGGAAGTCTATGGTTATTTACACTGAAAACTAAAGTCATGTCTGTTTCCAGAAATTGCACACGTACAAGTTGCAAAAGTCAAGCAAACTTTATTTATAGAGCACATTTAAAACAGCAGCTGTTACCAAAGTGCTTAACAATGACAACAGTGAGAGTAAATTAATGGACAACATTACACTAATGATAATACTGAAACATTAATTAAAAGCATTAAATATAAAAACACAGAACAAAATTACGAAATCAACTCGCACTGTGTGAAATGGTAGAGAAAACTGGTGTGTTTGAGCACAGATTTGAAAACAGGAAGGGGGGTGGCCTGCCTGATGTTGGGGAGCAGTTGTTCCAAAGTTTGGAGCCCATGACTGAAAATGCCCTAAAATACCCCGTCACCTCTGAGATTCAGTTTTGTTTTTAGTTCTTAGACTTTCAGTCTTACTCTTGGGTCAGTTCTGGTTGAGTGGTTAGAGCAGTCATCTTCCAAGAGTTGGGGGTTCGATTTCACCAGCAGTCGCATGCTGTAGTGTCCCTGGGCAAGACACTGAACCCCTCATTGCCTCCGATGTGTGTCCCATCAGTGTATGAATGTGATAAAGCTCTGATTAATCTTTGTACAGAAATATACAGTGCTGTATGAATGGGTAAATGAGGACACAGTCTGTAAAGAGCTTTGAGTATCTTGATAAGATAGAAAAGATATTAAGAGAACAAATTGATCTAATTTCCTTAAATGAATTGTTAAAATTTAATTGTTTTCATTTGATACTATTTCCATCTTAGCTTGTGATTCTCGACCTGCCATTGTGTATCTGACTAGCATTTAGTTTGTTTTCTTCCTATGAGAGAAACTTTAATTTGATGATATTTTAAAATGATAATCCCGCTCATGTCCTCTTGTAGATTTTTATCATTTGCTGATAATACCTCTAAGAACTCCACTTCAAAGAAATACAGACCTTTCCTTTAAGACTGATGTAGAAAAAAAAAACTTCAGGACATATAATCTAAATTATCATTAACATTTATTTAATCTTTGGACACAAAACATTATAACCACTGATATCCAGGAGAAAGTTTTCAATTATCTCATTACAATGTGACCAAAGTGACTTTACCAAGGTCAGTTAATCAAAGTTAGAGGGTTGGATCAGAGCTTATCTGGAACAGTTCTTGCTCAGTTTTCATTGTAGACAAAGTAAAAAATAAACTAAATAATTCAAACACCATGCGTATGTCAATAAAACAATAAGTCTTGCACCAACAGAAAAGGTCACGAATCAGATATTGCATGTATCATATAGTGATGAATAACTTAATGATGAAAAAAAAAAAAGAGAGAAAGAAAACAATTCTCTAACTGTTTTTGGAAAAACTAAATAAATTCCGAGGAGAAAACAGAAAACAAGAACTTTGATACAAAGGTTTAGTACAGAGATTTTCTCCTAACACAGCTTTAAAGCCAGAACATCACTCTGATCTGTTCTGACTGGTCAAACAGGTTCAAACTGACTCACTTCCACTCATATTTAAAGAGCGTGAAGAAGCAGCCAAAGGGCTTCTTCTTCTTCTTCTTCTTCTACTATTTTATTTAAAGACAATCACAGGATTTACAGGCCAACCATTTCTCTTTGTGGATTGAAGTGTGATGATTTTATTTCACTAAAGAAAACTTCTAGAGGTCATTAAAATGAATCGACATCATTCAGGACAGGTTTTTAGTTGTAAACCTTTGAAAACTACAGATTTATTTTATTCAAGATAAGGATTTACTGCAGAGGCTTTAATTTAAATCCAGACTCCAAAGCTGATGTCACCCTAAAAACCAGAACTACTAAACATTAGATGTAACAGAGAAGAAACAGTGGGTTGTTTTATGGCAAAATTTAGAGTCAATATTCATTTTGACACAAAGAATCATTGATAAATAAGGGAGGGGGGCATCTAGTGACATTTGAAGCTGTGAGAAAGGCGGAGCTTAACCTCCTACTTCTGATGACACAAGTATTCATCTGCGACACAAAGACAGTTCTGTGAGGATAAAAGACAAAGACTAGTGAGGAGAGGAAGAGATTCAAACACAACTTGTTTTGGATGTTTGAGAGCATTCAGAAACAGATTCAGTCTTGTAAACATGTAAAAATGAAACGGGCAGCTCATAAAAATGAGTTGAAAAGATTTTATAAATATGAGATAAGATGCTGGATGTGGCATCGCAACACACGCAAAATATTTGGTAGCTGCCTGGACAAACTATTTTTAAGCTGGGTTGCATGAAGATTTTAGAGAAATCAGTGTCTTACCTGCAGTAGAAAGTCAAGCGACAACTGAATTTATTGAAGCTTTCTTCTTTTTCTGACAAGAAATCAGATCGATCCACATAGGTACCTCACAATCTTCAGAGTCAGAGTCAGAGAGTCAGAGTTTCTTTATTGTCATTCGCACCTCATGTGGTACATGTGGTGGAGCGAAATTATGTACACAGGGTCCCAGTTACATCCAACAATAAAATGTATAAGAAAAACAGTAATAACATCTAACATCTTGCTTTAAATGAACAGAAAATATTGCTTTTACACCATGAACTATTAATAAAAATTAGACATTTGACAGTAACCTGGATGTTGAAGCCAGAAGAGGACCAGGGTTCCCATAGGCTGGTTTCAGTAGAGGTTTTAAGTACCGCCTCCTCCATGTAAACAAACATTACCGTTTCACTTGATTATAGAGGAGAGATCTGGTTGTCCGAGATGAAAACAGGTCGTCTCTGACAAACGGAAACCGCTTATGTCGACCCCTGCGCCTTGTTGAATGGTCAAAGAATAATTTTCCTATATGTTTAGCTGAAGATAGTCTTCATTATTAAATGAAAAGACATGTGACACAATGATATACATTACAGCTAAAAATAGAACTGGAATCCAGAAGTTGAAGCCACAAAAAAAAGATCTGTGCCTCCTCGTGGCTAGCTGCAGTACAAGTGTTAAGTCCTACCCCTTCATGTAAAATGAATGAGACTTTTTCCTGATTAAAAAATAAAAAATGCACTTCAAATAGTTGTTTAAAGTGTTGACAAAGGAAAAAGCGGGTAAAAATAATGGATGGGTTGATGCTGATTAGCATATTTGTCTTTAAAAATTTGCTGCTCTATTTTCAAATGTATTTTTCCCCAATACGTTTTATTTTAATTAGTTATTAAAGGCTTAGAAAAGTCTCTCGTCACACTGTGACGGACAGTGTGACGAACTGTTGGGAGTGTGTGTGTAGGTGAGGCTTTTGTATGGAGGTTACTGCCCTTCTGTACAACCTTGCTTCCCTAAATGGCAGATACTTGAAATTGCTTCCTGCTGGTTTACATTCTCAAACACTGAAAAAGGCGGGGACGCAATTTCTAGTATTCTTAAAATACGGTTAAGCACGATGGCACGTCAGCCAGGCACGTTGTTGCTTCCTGTAGCATTCCGACTCAGCTGGCAGCAGAGGATGTTACTGAGGGTTTAGCAGGTTGTAGGTAACTGATCACTGTCAGAGAAATTTAACTCTCACATATAGAGGAAACTGCGGGATAATGTTTTCTTAAAGGAAAAAAATATATATATTTGCTGTCAAACTGCATGTGGTTTATAATACTCTAACAAAAACTACAGCTTCAGGATCTGCTGACACAGCCGTAATACACACTGTCAAACAGAGGTTAGCAAAATACTGACACCCTACACCATGTTTACTGTGTAATTTCAGTCAAATCATACAACCTATGTTTATAAAAAGAAACAATATAGGCAGGGAGTTGGGTCAGATGCACCCTATGTGCTGAATTTGCACTGCTGGGCTGTGACATCACAGCTCTGTGTGTACATAAACCACCAATCTCTCTGTTGTGGGCCTGCAACAAAACTAATATCTGCTCCCTCTTTCTTCATACAAACTTTTGATATTAGCTATTTTATCACTTAATTTTCATCCAGTACCTGAAATTTCCTGGGAAATGTTTCCGTTTCTTTGTTAAGCGGTTCAACTTGGACTTGTGAATGATTCAGATAATAAAATGTTTCCTAACTCAAGGGATGAGCCAGTGTTGTATCAACACATATCAGACAACTTAGCAAAGAACCAGATTTAAACAGACGTTTTAGGTGCTTAGTTACAAAGAGCCTGTCACAAAGACTATTTGTTCTGTTCTTCAGTTTAATCTGTGAAAATAAACTAGAACAACACAGTCTGACAGAAAATAGTATTTTAGAACTCACAAGGTGATTCTCAAAGCCATTAGCAACATCAATGTATTTCTCAGGGTTTGTATCAGGTCTTTTCTACCAGTGCATATTATAGTTTTAGACCTGCTGGTGCTTGACAATTTTGTTAAATTTAAGGACACAGTGTGAAAGGGTGGGGTAATTTATAGCAAGTTTTCAACCAAGATCTTTAGGAATCATAATGCTAGCATAGAAATACTGCTTCCTGTATGTAAATAATTTCCTGTTAGCATTTTTCAGAGATACAACAATCCTTGATGGCAACGGCAGCTTTAGGAAGCACCAAGCAAAGCTTTGCTCGTGGCTGATAAACTACTGTAATCTATATTAAACAAAGTAAACATTAGCTAGTGCTCATCTAAGTAATAAAACTGATTATGAAGTGGCATTACATCTGTAATATTTGCCTTTATAAGAGGAGCAAGAAAAAACAATAGGCAAA